CCTTATCTTATTCTTAGGAATGCATGCTGAAGGGAGGGCAATGAAAGGAGAAAGAAAAGCATAAATTGCCAAAAGGCCAAGTGTTCTTTGTATTTCTCTTTCAATTCTTCCAGAGATTTGATATTTTTCCAAAATAAAAATGCAGCTTCCTCTTGGGGATTCTGATTCAGTGGACCTGGAATGAGGCCCGGGATCTGTATTTTTATTTTCTCTCTCTCTTTTTTAAAATTAACTTTAGATAGAGAGGATAGGAGAAGGAGAGAGAGAGAGGCATTGATCAGTTGCCTCCCCCATGCACCCTGACTGGGGCTCAATCTCACACCCTGGGTGTGTGCCCTGACCAGGAACCAAACCTGCAGCCTTATGGTGTACGGGGCAACGCGCCAACCACTGAGCCACCCGGCCAGGGCAAATCCACCATACCAGGTGGATTTCCTCTGGTTCAAGGCTTACATCTCAAGGTCCCATCAGCAACCTGCCCTGCTGGCTGCCTTTCGGTTTCTCAGACGCCAGGTACCATCATCTCTCCGCACATCCCGGTCCCTCAGCCTGCTCTGCTGTCCCCTCCTCTGCTTCACCCGCCCTTTTCCAGATCTTAGCCTGAATGCCACTTCTCCAGGGAGCGCTTCCCACAAGCCCCTCAGCCGATACCCCCTTCCCCACTGGCTCTCACAGCCCCGGGACCACAGCTGTCATTTCCATAGAGTTGTGATTTTTGGATTCATGTCTTCTCCCATTACACAGTGTTATGACTGAGCTGGGTCTCTCCCCACCTCCCCCCTCTTCCCCGGCCCAATCCCAATTCATAGGCTGCAATCCTAACCCCGGTGCCTCAGAAGATCACTCCATTTGGAAGAGGTGAGTAGGGTCAAATGAGTTCATAGAGGCAAGGTGGGCTCTCATCCAGGACGACTGGTGTCTGTGTGAGAAGAGGAAACTGGAGACAGAGGAGAGACCGCCTGGAGATACTGGGGGAAGACAGCCTTCTATCTACAAGCCAAGAAGGAAACAACCCTGCTGACATCGTGGTCTCAGACGTCTAACCTCCAGAATTGTGAGAAAACAGATTCCTATTGTCTAAGCCACCCAGCTTGTTATGGTGGCCCCGCCTAACACAGAGAGAGAGCGACACTGACCAGGGGCCAGATCTGCTCTGTTTACATCTGGATTCCCGGGGCCTGGCGGAGCCTGGCACAGAGGCTGTGTGCACACTGGCAGCTCTGTGGGACGCATGAAGTGGGAGAACGCACGACAGTCCTGGCACATAGTCGGGCTCCAGTAAACAGCACTTGAAAATGCAGCAAGATAACATTTGATAAATCACATGCTGAGGCGCGGGCTTTCTTCCCCTCGATGTGTGTTTTGTTGCTGCTGGTGCCATGGCCCTCGGCCCTGCACCCATCTTGTCACCCCTTGCCTCCGGGGGTGCCCAGATGCCACCTGGAACAAACCAACGTGGCTGCTCAGTCCTGAGTTGCAAAAGAGAGTCTAAAATATCCCCGGTCCAAGTAATAATGACCGGGGAGCCAAAGCACTTTGCATATGTCACTGCCTCCGACCAGAGAGGTCTCATGGAGTTCTAGAAAGCTATGCTTGGAAGATCGAGAGGCAGGCTGAGAGGCAAAATGTTTATTCCCAAACAACAGATTGGCTGAAGAGAGGCTCAGCTTCTGAATGTTTAGGGAAACGCAAATAAAAAAGCCAGGAGAGACAGCTCTCAGAAAGGCAAAACCAAAAGGAAATACCCACAGCTCCGTCCATACTGGGAAGGCCAGGAACCCCTCGGGTGGGGGGCCAAGGCCTGGTACTACCGGTCTGAGGAGAGGACTGGCGTTATTTAGGAAAGTTAGATGTGTGTGTCCTGTGGCTCAGCGGCTCCGCCAGGAGGCATGCCTGCCTGGAGAAGGCCTTACCCTGTGTAGGAGAAGACAGGCAGGAAAGGATATGCGTCATAGCTTTTATCCGCAAGAGCAGAAGATGAGCAGCATTCTAAGTGCTTACCAAGTGGGGGGGTGGATATGATGAATTAGGAGGTGTCTTAATGATGGAACTTTTTTCTTCTTCCACCCTTTCTCCCTTTCTACGAGGAACCTCTGCCCCCCTTTTTAACATAAAAAAAATCTCATGGATGCATTTAATGTTACTTGAAATTTCAAAAGAGAGACCTAGGAGAAATCCTTTCTCTGAGATGGGGGCAAGAGGGAGTGGGCGGGTGTGCTTTGGAATTCAGGGCTTTAGAATTTTATAAATATAAAGCGGTGCCCATGCTCTGTATTAGTGATTCTCACACTTGAGCAGGACTCAGAATCACCAGGAGGGCTCCCTAAAGCTCAGACGGCTGGACCCCGCCCCAGAGTTGTTTTATTGAATAGGTCTTGGGTGGGGCCTGAGAATTTCCATTTCTAACAAGTTTCCGAGTGGTGCTGAAGCTGCTGGCACCACACTTTGAGAATGACTACTTTTTAAAAATATATTTTATTAATTTTTTTTTTTTTTTTTTTTTTTTTTTTTTTTTTTTTTTTTTTTACAGAGAGGAAGGGAAAGGAATAGAGAGCTAGAAACATCAATGAGAGAGAAACGTCGATCAGCTGCCTCCTGCACACCCTCTATTGGGGATGTGCCCGCAACCAAGGTTCATGCTCTTGACCGGAATCGGACCTGGGACCTTTCAGTCCACAGGCTGATGCTCTATCCACTGAGCCACACCGGCCTCGGGGAGAATGACTCTATTACATCACATCCCTAGAGGGGTCTATAATAGCACCCAATAATCAAACATTCACATTGTCCCTGTGGAATAAATACCTATTACATAGGAATAAAAATGTAGTAATAAGTATTATATATATAGCCTTATGTCAGTTCAGATTAGGTTTTGCTACTGAGTCAGCTTTTGTAAACTAATGAAAAATCTCTCCATTTTTATAGAATTTTGATTTTTGGAAGAAAGCATAGGAGATTGTTCTCTTCTAAGTGATGTGCCATGACCATAGATGAAAGTATACAAAAACTGTAACATTAGAATATGCTTTCTTTTTTAGGTACATTTGACCCCCACCCCACCATCAGGGATTGTGAATGTTTGTAGAAAGAATGAATGAGAATAAGCTTCTCTAAAAAAAGAGAGAACAGCCGGTCTTGCATTGTTTCTATTGGCCACCAGGTGGCAGCAACAAGTCAGTCCATAATAGTCACATTATCAGAAATGTGGGATTGGAGATATTCGTTTGGCCATCTTTAAGAAAACGCAATCTGTGCATATTTGTAGCAGGGATAAGTCAGGATCTTTGTGGACCAGTCACTACTTGTAATAGGATAAATTTAGAAACATATTTATTCAAATGCCATTCAAAAGTGGAATAATTAAATAAATCATGGCAGAAAACTATTGGAATACTATTCAAATGTTTAAATGAATGAGTTACTTCACCAAAAAAATGTGCAGGAGACATATGAATAAAACTGTTGAAGTCAATTCTGTGGCACAAGGACCTATGTAAAGGAAAAAGGCTCATTCCCATTTTTGACTAGAAGACTCAATAAAGGAAAGATGCCATCTTTCATCTCCTAATCTATGCTTTCAATGGGATGCAAATAAATATTCTAACAAGGTTATCTTGGAACTTAACTGACTTCAAGAAAAGTCCCAGGGAGAAAAAAAGAGAGAGAAATCTAGGGAGACAAACTCTGCCACCTCTTAAAGTATATTACAAAGTCAGATTAGTAATTCATTATGAACTCAGGAATAGACAGAGATGAATGGAGCAGATGAGTGAGTCTGGAAGTAGACCAAAATATATAAGGTTATTTAATAAACAATAAAAGTGGCATCTAAATCAGCGGATAAAAGATGGATTGCTCAGCAAATATTGTTAGCGCAATTTGCTGGTCGTCTGAAAAGAAAATCAACTGGAGGCCTCCCACAAACCTAAGGCAAGATAAATTCCACCTGGATAAACGAATCGTGGCACATACATACAATACCGAGCACTGAGAATGAATCACGGCTACCTGCAACATGGATGAATACTAAAGACAGTGCTTAGGAATGCATAATTAGGTGGCAAAACTATAAAAGGCACAGAAACGAATACTACAGAAGTCCACAGAGTGGTTTCCAACGAGGGGAAAGGAGCAGATTTTGATCAGGAAAGACCATACTGGGGGCTTTTGTGGGGGTAGCAATGTTCTGTCTCTTGACCATTATGATTATGCAGGTGCTCATTTTACAAGTTATTAGGTCATATCTTTATATTTTATGCCATGTTATGTTACATTTTACATAAAAAGGTTTAAAGTAACTAAATATATGGGAAGAAAACATAGGATTCTCTCCATGCCCCCAATCCCCTTCCCCCATGCATTACCCATTAAACATAATATAAAAAACAGCCCTGGCCAGTGTGGCTCAGTTGGCTGAGTATTGTCTCATGCAGCTAAAGGTCCCCAGTTTGATTCCTGGTCAGGGCATATGCCCAGGTTGCAGGCTTGATCCCCAGTAGGGGGGATGCAGGAGGCAGCCAATCAATGATTCTCCCTTTCTCTTCCTCTCCCTCTAAAACCAGTAAAAATGTATTATTTTTTTAAAAAAGGGAAAATAATGTGAAAGCTCTCTTTGTATCAATGTGGTGTGATCTCCAAGATATATTATGTACAAGATATATTATGTGCAAATGTCTGGAGCAGTGGTCACCAACCGGTGGCCCATGAGGTCCAAAGACTGGTGACCACTGGTGTAGTGTGTGCTACCATTTGCGTAAAAAGTACATTGCATGCATATGCTGACTGCATCCTCATGGTGTTGTCTATAATGTTTGTGACAGACATACAAGCACAAACACTTTTGAAAGATTCCGGAGAAGCAGCTCCATATGCAGTGGTATTTAAATGATATCCAAAACATATTGCTATAGGACAAGCAGAACAAGGAAAGTATGAGTACTGATACTTTTTGATATTTTTAATGGAAAACTTCAAACACATACAAAAGTAGAGAGAGAAAGATAATGCACCCTATGTAGCTATCCCCATATTCCTGATAATGAACTCATGGCCATTCTTGTTTCTTTAAAAAAAAAATTTTTTTTTATTGATCTCAGAGAGGGAGAGAGACATAGAAATGTAAATGATGAGAGAGAATCATAGATTGGCTGCCCTCTGCACACTCCCTACTGGAGATCGAGCCTGCAGTGTGCCCTGACCATGACCTCTTGGTTCATAGGTTGGAGCTCAACCCCTGAGCCACACCGGTCAGTCAAGCAATTCTTATTTCATACATGCCCCCTCCAACTCCCTTGTATCCCACTTGATTATTTTGGAGTAAATCCCAGACACTTTTGAATGTATCTCTATACGTATTCTCATTCATTCATTCATTCATTCTCTTCCCCTCCCCCTCTCTCTCTTCGCTCCATAGCACATTACTTCTACAAATAAAAACCCATCAATAATTCTTTCATATACTCAAATATCCAAACTGTGCTCAAATTTCCCTGGTTTTTTCAGAAGTTTTTTTTTTTTTTAACAGTGACTTATTAGAATCAGGTCCAAAGAAGATCTATACTTTGTGTTGTTTGAAATGTCTTATAATTTATAGCCCTCCCCTTCTTTTTATTCCTCTTGCAATTTATTTGCTAGGGAAGAAAAAAACGTTGTTTAATTTATAGCTTCCCCTGCCTCTTTCTTTCCTCTTGGCGATTTATTTGATGGAGGGAAGGAGAAAAGAAGGTTGTTAGTCCAGGAGAACTTTCTGCATTCTGGATTTTGCTGATTTGCATCCTCATGGCATTGTCTGTCATGCTGGTGACAGATTTCACTCATTTGCTCCATTCAGGTCCCCTTCCAGCCTTCTCCACTCTGGTCTCTGCCCCCAGGAGACTGACCTGGGGGGACAATATCAGCCAGGCTCTCTGGCTTTCGTTGGGCTTGGCCAATAGGGAGCTCTGGTAGGAATGGGAGGGAGGGAGGGAGAATGAGGTCACACTGTATCTCCCTGGCTTCCTCCCTGCTTTGTCTGTGCTTCATGACTGAAGGGGACAATTTCTCTCAAGACAGCTGCTCTACCCAACTTTCTCCCCTTCCAGGTTCTGGTAATCTCTCCCTCCTACTGGAAAAGGCTTCTCTGCTGCTCATCCCAGGACCCTGCACTACTCACCACACTCTGCCTTCCCTTGGTAAATATCCCCTCTTCTAATGGTGCTCATCTGAGTCCACCCTCTGCTTCCTGATAGAACCCTAACATACAATGTTTTTTTGTCCTAGCAGTTCCAGTGAACTGGCAGTTAAATCTGAGGGCTTGATCAGATTCAGGTTAAATTATTTTGTAACAATACTTCATGGATGGCCCCGCTGGCATGGCTCAGTGATTGAGTGTTGTCCTATGAACCAGGAGGTTGGGGTTTGATTCCTGGTCAGGACACATGCCCGGGTTTTGGGTTCAATCCCTAGTGTGGGGCATGCAGAAGGCAATCAATTAATGATTATCTCTTATCATTGATGTTTCTCTCTCCTCCCTTCCTCTCTGAAATCAAGTATACATATGCATTCCTTTACGTAAGTGTAAAAAAATATTTTATGGATGATGTTCAATATGTCATATTGTTATCACACCAGAAGGAACATGCTATCCGTTCATTATAATGATCCCATCAACTCTTCACCAAATGGTGTTTAGATGTTGTGGAAGATCCTTGTCCCTTGCTGTTATCAGGAGTTTGATAATGGTGGAATCCTATCGTTTCTCTTCATGGATTAGCTGGAAATCCCCTACAAAGAAAACTTCCCTTATCATTTATTTGGTTACCCTGGGGCACAGTTGGTTCAGGAAAGGCAGGATCAATGCCTGCTTCTTCCTCTTTATCAGTTTTCAAAAGTATGGCCTGGTTTCTCCAGAGGTAACCGATGATGAAGTCATGGATTTTAAGAGTTGATATTTTATCGGTTCATTTTTATTCTTTCTGACGCTAAATTGTCCCATTCCCTGGCCACTACAAGTTGGCTCCTGAGATGCAGTCCCAAGAGTCTTCATGAGTCTTTCATACTTCCCTTGCTTTCTAAGGCAACAAGATATTCCAGGCTCATCTTCTATGTCTCCTGCCTCAGAACTGGAATCAGTTATTTCTCCAAGGAGCCCTGGTTCCTTTTGATAAGAAAGGAACTTGAGAAGCCACAGTAGGCATGTTTCTGGGATACAGAGTTGTCTGTTATTTTTAGATTGTATTTCAGCTAAGAAAATAATACTTTCAGAGAGAAGATACATCATGTGCTCATACTGATTTTGTTATTTAGCCTGGCCCGTGTTGCTGAGTGGTTGAGTGTCAAACTATGAACCAGAAAGTCATGGTTTGATTCCCTGTCAGGGTACATACGCAGGTTTCAGACTCGATCTCCAGTGTAGAGTGTACAGGAGACAGCTCACCAATGATTCTCTCTCATCACTGAGGTTTCTATCTCTCTTTCTCTGAAATTAAAAAAAAAAAAAAAATCTTTAAAAAAATAAAAATAAAGAACTAAGGAAAGAATGTTCATGTGTCCAAACCACCAGACATCTGGAAGATTACCATCTCAGACCAATCCAGAGATTCAGAGATTCAGAATGCAATACGAATTCTTTTCAAAGATGTAATTTTTACTACAAGAACTCTCAACCTTTCTCCTCTTCCGCGCGCGCTCGCGCTCGCTCTCTCTCTCTCTCTCTCTCTCCTTCTAACACTCTGAGTGCTTACCTGATAGTATTTCCAATTTGTAAACCCTAAGACCCTTGAATAAAACTTTGTCATTTTCAATTTTGGCAAAGCCTCCTGATTCATTTACATTCAGTTGACACCATTAACCCAACTCCCATGCAGTCTCCAGATGGTTGCCCAGGCTAGTTAAGGGCTGGCAGGATAAGCTATGCCCACTCCCAGCCAGGTGTTTTATCAAAATGTCATGCAGAACAAGTGTGACAGGAAAGTGCCGAGAAGCTGAAATCAGCTCCTCATTCTTGTCCAGGTTAAGGAATGACTGCCAAGAGAATCCCACTTCATTTCTTCTGGAACATTTCCAAGAGACCGTCTAGCTAGGCCCAGGCCAGGAGAAGCCATCCTATTAAGCATTCCTAAGAATGCTTAATTCTTTCAGCTGAGACTAGTGCCAAGGAAGTGTTCTCCTGCCCCCACTTTTCTGTGCCAGAAAGTGAATGTACAGGTAAATACAAAAGATCGCATTTTTATATTTCTCCAGAAGACGGTTGACTAATGATAACAATGTATTATGGCCCTAGCTGGTTTGGCTCAGTGGATAGAGCATCAGCTTGTGGAATGAGGGTCCTGGGTTCAATACCGATTAAGGGCACATGCCCAGGTTGCAGGCTTGATCCCCAATAGGGGGTGTGCAGGTGGCAGCCAAGCAATGATTCTCTCTTATAGATATTTCTATCTCTCCCTCTCTAAAGTAAAAAAATATATATTTATTAAACAACAACAACAAACCCACCACAATGTATTATGTATGGGGTTTATAAACTAAGTAATAGTAAAACATGTGACACCAATAACAAATTGCCAAAGTGGGAAATGAGGTTGTGGTAACATGCTTACACTGTGTTTGAAGGGTAAGAATTCATCCCAGGCAGATGGTAATAAGTTAAGGAATCATATTGTAATCTATAAGGCAACCACCGAAACACAGAGGGGGTAAAATGGAATACTGAGAAGTTACACATGGCTAAATGATTTACTTTGGCCAGCGAAGGTGAGTAGGCGTGATGTATGTCACTCCTGGGTAGACACATTTCAGAGCCAAGACTTGGCTCTTGCTGTTTGGTTTCCTTGCTTTGTGTTGAGATGGCAGGATCGCAGGATGGTGTGCAGTGATTGTGTGGAACAATGCATTCCCCACACCCACACACCACTCATTTGCTGACATTCACTGGACATGCAGCATAAGAAATAAACTTTGTGTTAAGCCTCTGAGATTCTTGGTATTTGACAATTACACTTGCATTCCTGGAATAAAACCCACTTAATCACCATGTATGCATTATTTTTTAATGTGCTGGCAGAGTCTCTTTGTAAATAATCTACTTGTGACCAAAACCAGTTTGGCTCAGTGGATAGAGTGTCGGTCTGCGGACTGGAGGGTCCCCGGGTTCGATTCTGGTCAGGGGCATGTACATTGGTTGCGGGCGCATCCCCCGTGGGGAGCATGCAGGTGGCAGCTGGTAGATGTTTCTCTCAATGTTTCTAGCTTTCTATCCCTCTCCCTTCCTCTCTGTGAAGAATCAATAAAATGTATTTTGAAAAATAATTTACTTGTTTACTTCATTAATATTTTTTTAATATATTTTTTATTGATTTTATACAGAGAGGAAGGGAGATAGTTAGAAACATCGATGAGAGTCATCGATCAGCTGCCTCTTGCACACCCCCTACTGGGGATATGCCCGCAACCAAGGTACATGCCCTTGACCGGAATCGAACCCGGGACCCTTCAGTCCCCAAGCCAACGCTCTATCCACTGAGCCAAACCGGTCCCGGCTCATTAATATTTTTAAGTTTGAAATTAATCTATGGTTTTGTGTGTGTGTGCAATCTATCAGATTTTGATAACAATGATATACTTGCTACATAAAAACAATTTAGCCCTGGCTGGTTTGGTTTAGTGGTTAGAACAAAGGCTTATAGACTGAAGGGTTTCAGGTTTGATTTCTTATCAAGGACATGCACCTCGAGTGCAGGCTCAATCTCTAGCCCCAGTCAGAGTGCAAATGGGAGGCACCCAACTGATGTGTCTCTCTCCCCCTCCACGCCTCCTTTCTCTTCACTCTCTATATAAGTGGGCAGTTAGGGGATATCCCTACCACATTTTAGCCAGAGAAGGGAGCCCTGATCCTCTAAAGAGGCCACCCTTGAGAGCTGCCCTGACTTCAATTCCCTGAGTCGACATGAACCCTAAACAGGACAAACACCTGTTTGACTAAAATGTCCCCGCTTACCTGCCCACTGAGGGACCTTCCCCTTCAGGGCAGCTTGACCTCCATGGCCGTCTTGACCATTCACCACTGCTGTTCAGGCTGTTTAAACTGCTGACTATGGGGAAAAGGCTCCAGACCAAAAAGCAATTAATCATTAATGGGCTGCCTCCTGCGAGCCCCACACTAGGGATCGAGCCCTGGAAATGTGACAGGAAAACCTCTCACATGGAGGCTGCCTTTGCCTTCTTCGCATCTATCCTTTCTTAGCAGCTCATGGCTATCACCGGCTCATCAGTCCATGGGCCCAAGCATGGACGGCCAGTGGTTCACTGGCAACATGTGGGAGATCTTGAGTCGGCCCAAGTTTTCTTCCTTCTCCACAATCACCACTGCCCGCTCCTGGTCTTCAGTTGCTAGGCCCCTAAGAGTGGAGTTTCAGGTGCTCGACCTTGGTCAACCATCGAGCAAACATGTGCAGAAGTGACCTCATCAGAGACATCAGAGCAAGAGGCTCTATGGGAATGAAATATATGGACCCTGGGACAGGACTCTAGCATCTCAGGGGCCTTCTGGGCTCAATTACTGGTGTTTGAGAGTTAAAACTCTTACCAATCTCTGTAAAGGAGCGGGGTCATGTGTCCAAAGATGAAGCTACAAGGGTGCAGGGAATGAGGTATGACAACACTGAAAAGGCTGCAGGAATAACCTTCTCTAGTCCACTTTTCTGTAGAAAGGCCAGAAAATGTTAAGTAGCCAAAACACACAGGGACAAACATTTTAAAAATATGTAGGAAAGTCTCATGTGGTGGAAAAAGTTTCCAGCAAAAGAAGTTTGAACAAAAGCTGGACCAAGACCCCATTTCTGCACATTCAGAAGTGGGCACCAAGCGGGCCCCTAATTGGCTTACGCTGTACAACTTCATTTCCCTCTTTGGGCCCTTTTCTCTCATTTGAAAGAGGAAGTAATAGGAAAAGGGAAACATTCACAGCTCCTGAGGTTTTGTGGAGAACTCTTTTACATAAATATCTTTTTACATGTATGTGGAAGTCCTCCAAATTCTGGGCATTCACACAATTTCTGAATAAATCTAGAAAAATATCTACACTAACCATATAAATTTTAACCATTTTTTAAAACAAAAAGGGATTTAAAATGCAGTAAGGATAAGGGCATTTCTGTCCTCCACAGTCTTCATTCACTACTGCAGGCAGCAGACACTACAGCTCGACCTGCTCCAACAAAGACGCCAGGTCACTGGAAGTTTATTCACGGCGAAAGCCCCCAGAGGAGGGTAAGTTCTAGAGCACATGTGTCAAACACAAGGCCCGCGGGCCAAATCCGTCCTGCCAGGCCTTGCAATGTGGCCCGCACCGCGCTGTCATCACTGCACTCCGCTGCGTTTCCATCACAATGACAGTTTATGACTGTTCAGTAAACCATTCGGCCTGCGATTTAGGCTGGATTTTAGATTTTGGCCCCTTCTCTGATTGAGTTCGACACCCCTATTCTAGAGGGTAACTCCCAGTGTCCCTCCATGTTCTCCCCAGGAGAAAGCCATCTTGCAGCCCAAGGTTCCCAGTAGACTTGAGCCAGACACATCTAGCAGTCACTGTCCTGCCACACTAGCCAGCATGGCCCAAGGTCCGAGAGGGGCCCTTCTGTCATGCCTGCTCACCAGCACTGCCTCCACTGGCCCCTGAGCCTTTGCCTGACGCCTGGGCTTCTGAGGAGCGTGAAGCCTGCTTTGGCAGGTGGATGGGGACGTAGATGTTGGAAGCAGAATGCTCCTTGAAGTACTCTCCTCCCTTCTCTTCATATTCTTTCCTGGTGATCCAGACGGCATCATCATCCAGGTGGTCCAAGGCCCAGTCACGAGCACCATACCAGGCGTCCAGCACAGGGTTAGAAGCAAGCTGAACCTGAAACACAGAGCACATTCGTCAGAAGGCCGTCTCCATCAGGACTCAAGGAGTGAATGTCCAACAGGCCCAGCCATATCCTCTTTCCATCCCCAGAAATACACAGGAGGCCCCGATGGATTCTATCTCTGCACCCTCCTAACTCAGCTGAGCCGAAATGCCCCCGACTCTCCAAGTGACACAAGCATGCAAACACTAGCAGACTTGACCTCACAGTCAGCTACCTTATGAACATAAGACCTGCCTCTCTGGTCTGAGAGACCAGTTGCTCCTCCTCCTGCTCCAGGGATGTTAACCACAAGTTGTCAAATGGAGAGGGAGGCTGAGCTGGCCGCATCCCCTCTCTGTAAGCAGAGGGGAGCAGCGGGAAGTGGAGGCTGATACGAGGCAGCTCCGGCCAATGGTGGCAAATGAGCCTCTAAAAGGAGAGCAGAGAAGATGCCGCTGTCAATGCCCAGTTTCCACTGCTTATTATCAGAGGGAGGTGAGGAGAATGACTTATTCTCCATGCAGTCTTCTGTATCCTTTGTTTTTTACTATGTGCATGCCTTCCTTTTTTAATAAACAAAACATGATTCTCATTCTGCTTTTAAAATTAAACATAAATGGAAGACCAGAAGGAAAGCCACAAAAATGTTAGCAGTGATGAGATTATAAAGTAACTAGAGGCCTGGTGCCCAAAATTCGTGCACGGGGCAACCTGCCGTCTTGGTCGCCCCATGCAGCCTGCTGTTCAGTGGTTTGGGCATCCCTCACTAACCTCCCTGCCAGCCTTGTCGCTCCACACAGCCTGTGTTCAGTGGTACAGCTGGTTGTTTTGGTGGTGACGGCAACTGGCTTTTTATATATTAGGATTTTTCTCATTTACACTTTACTTACCACTTCTGCAATCAGAAAATAAAAATAATTAATACCATTTTCAAAACAGCTAGTTAGGCTCAGTGAACAGAGCTTCTGCCTATGGGTGAAGAATCCCAGGTTCAATTCCAGCCAAGGCACATGCCAGGATTGCAGGCTCGATCCCCAGTAGGTGGCAGGAGACAGCCAATCAAACATCTCTCACTGTTGATGTTTCTCTCTCTCTCTCTCCCTCTCCTCTCTGAAATCAATAAAAATTATGTTTAAAAAAAACAACATGCACACATAAGAAATAGCTGGCAACATTATCAATCAGTACCTGAAAAGATGACTGAAAGGGTCTCATCGCCAATAGTTCCTTCTCGATTCTACCTTTTAGCCCAGGATACATCAAGTTCCCGCCAGTGAGGAAAACGTTCTGAACCAGCACCTCCTGAATGTCCTTTGGGTACCTAGGAGAGAGAGGATTCCTCTGCTTTGGCCCCGGGAACTTGAATGTCAGAAGAGAATGTACATGTGGAAATGTAAGCTCTCAGTACAAAGGCGAAAACATCTGCACACCTTTAAGAACTTCCAAGTTTCATTTGCATCTTTACAGAATGCTAAATATCTAGTCAAAACCTTACTTTGAGTGGTCAATTCACTTCTTTAGTATGATTAGAAGTTTTGTGCCTTTCTAACACGTTTTCTAACAACTAATTTTACTGAGGTTTTATTTACACACATTTTGGGTAAGTCTGGTAAATTATATACTTAGCAACTGGCATCACCACACTCTACATAAAGAACATTCCCATCACACAAGAAGTTTCACCTCCCTTTTGAGAGTCCATCTCTCTACCTCCGATTTTTTTTTTTTTTTTTAAGTAACAGTTTTATCATATACATGTTTGGCCACTTTCCCACCGTTAGACCAAGCTGACAGCCATTCAAAGCAACTGCAATAGCTTTCCCCCCTCCTGTTTATCCAACAGCAGCCACAGCACTAAAAGTCATGCTCCTTAACTTGTCCAAACTAAATTATGAAAACTCACACCGCAGGAAAATGCCTGTATAAACAGGAGGAGGGAAAGCATGCTCTTATAGAAATGCAAACTCCTAAATAAATGTCTACAAGGAGGAAAGAAAGTTCTGCACATTTCTGGGTAATTTACAATCACTAGTCTTCAATGTGAAGGTTTAAATGACAGCCAGTGCACGACATTACCACGTTACTCAAACCTAAAGGCCTGGCAAGAGATAGCGAGTACTATCTGAGCTCAGCAAGTCAATGAGAAGGAGAGTGTGAGAGAGAATTCCAACGCCTCGCCATCAAATCTACCATTCAAAGCCAAGGAAGTGGTTTTTTTGGGGGGCGGGGGAGAAAGAGAAGTTTCAGTCTTACCTGTCCAGAATGTACTGGAGGGTCTCCGCTACTCCAGCCTGCTCTTCGCCCAGGAGAGACGGCTGGAAGATAATTTCCGGAGCCCGAATTCTTTCTGTCCCAACAAACAGCTGGTGATATGCTGCCAAGTTAAACACGGGCTTTAAAAACCCAAGGTTTAGAAGACATTTTTAGACCACATGACAAACATCCTCATTGCCAGTTTCCTCAAACTGCAGTTTATTCCAATTCAGCTTCTGTCCTTTGCTCATGCCTGAGTAGCCCCTCCCCAACTCTCTTGATTTGAACGTTCAATTTCCTAATCTTTTCCCGCTACTATTTGCATAATGAAATGACCCCTGAGTAGCAGGGAGAGGGACTGTTGAGAGTGGCAGCAGAGAGACTGGAAGACCAGGTCTCCAGCACCCTGGTCCCTGAACAGCTGGGAACGCTTCCTCCCAGGTGTGTCTCAGACCAGGTCAGTCTCTCCGGCTGCTATTATGACATAGACGTAGACCCAAATGAGGATTAAGCATGACACTGGCTTACATTTGAATTAAACCACTAAAGCTAGTCTTCGGGTATAAAGTCCCCAATTACTTATCCTAATGTTTCCACCAGACACACTATTACTCACAGATTCCTGGACCTTGATGATGGAACCCCAATCGATAACTCTGACTTTGGATGTTTTAAGTATCAGAACCCTCCTTTTTAGAAAATACAACTGGGATTTTTAAAAAATATCTCTAAAGGAGCAGACTAGACTAGCCCGGTCACTTATGTCACAGCTTCAAAACATGAACATGGTCGAGGCCACAGGGGTCCGACCTGGACAGCGGCGACGGGCTTCTCCACTTCCGGCGTTTCCTCTGAGAACAAGGGCTCAGAATCACTGATGTTCTCCACGTCTTCCAGGGTCGGCTCTAGAGGCTCTAGGTCAGGGGTCTAAGAACAGAATAAACAAAACACAACAAGCCCTGTAACTTCAGCAAGCTTTAGTTCTATTAGCTCACGGTCACCGAAGGAGTGAAATCTCCCAATGGCCTAACCTATGAAAAAAGTATGAAAAAATTTCTCAAGTATTTTAAAATAGAACATGCATGAACACAAGGATTAAAAGACTGAAAAGCCAGGAATGGCTTTGCTTTGTCCCCCTCCCCCCACCACTTATATAACCTCAACTCCTACCTTCTCTCTGAAGCCTTCTGATGGGCCCCCACACACCTGAGGCACAGTGGGAGCCCTGCTGCCTGCAGGAGTCACACCACATACAGAACTCGGAGGGTGTGTGTGTGTGTGTGTGTGAATACCTGGTGTCTTACAAAGTGTCTTAGACCACGAGCAAAATTAAGTAAATCTCTTCGTAATTAGTAGATCTACATGCCAATACTGATGAGCTGGTCATGTGACCGAAAGCTCCCGGTGGGAGAATGCTTCCTGTCTGTGGAACCCAGTAGAACAGGCTTTTCTCTTCAGCAGTGAACCTGGGTGGCCTGACACGCTGGTACCGTCCCCAATGGAGGATTTAGAACATTTGACCTGGCCAAAGGCGCTAGGTGGGAGTGGGGTGGTTCTGGATGACATCTTCAGCCACCCGTGTGCTGCCACGTGAAAGGCAGGTGAGTTTCACCTCCTGGACTCAAATGGCAGAATTACAGGAAGAAATATCCTGTTGTATTCCATGGAACAATGCTCTAACAATGACAGCTGTTGCAGAAAGGACTGCCTTAAGAGATGGTGACTTGGGAGGGTTCGAGCAGACTCGACCTGCCCATATATACTACAATGTAAACTAGCATTTAAACTGCCCCTCCAGCACACGCGCGCGCACACACACAGTCATGTGGCATATGTGGCTCAGAGAGGGGTGACAATGCATTCTAAATCCTGACCAATATAGATGATCTATCATATTTAAGGGGAGAGGAGGGTAAACCCTGGAAAGGACAAGGAATATTTCTTCATCTGGGACTAGAGAACAGGATGAGAGGCACTGGCTTAGAAATAGGTAATTTAAGGAGGCGAGAACCTAAGGACCTTGCTCTTGCCAACACTGAATCTGACTCAGGAGCAGAAACACCTGCTGCCTGGCACAATCCTCACCACAGATATTCCTACGCTTTATGGGTGAGGAAACTGAGGCTCAGGAGGCTTAATAGCTTGCCCATAACCACAGTATACCAGTAAGTGGTGGAAAGTTGGCCTAAAATAGAACTTCTTAGCTCCAAATTCTGGGCTCCGCCTTAAGCTGAAATTCTATAACTCATGATGTCCCACAAAAACTTTAAAAATAAGAAACTCAAAACCCAACTAATTATCTTCCTAAGCCTGGAAGGCTTTATCTTCTAACCACTGCCTTTCAGTGTGATCACAGTGTCTCTGGAATCAATGGCTGTTCTGAACCTCAACTGCACACCGCTAACTCTGCAACCGTGGGTGTGTTTCTTCACTCCCCTAAGCCTCATTTTCCTTGTTTGTAAAATGGGGGTGGTGATAGTACTTGTTGAAAAGTAAGAATTAATCAAGGTGATAGCTGCAGAAGAGCTCGGCGCTGGTTCTGGACATGTCACATGTTCCATTATCATCAATCATTGCCACTCCTGTCACCTCTGCTTCTAACTGGCTCCAAGATCACTAGATCCTACATTTAAATGTCTCCTCCTCCACCCTCTAACCCCAAGACAAATTTCAAGTCAACTACAACACATTTTTACCCTCTTTTCCACCTTCAGCCTTGCCTCTCCTTAAACCATCTTCCTAACTGCCTCCAATTATTATCCTAAAATAAAAATCTCATCAGATGACTTCCTTGCTCAACATGCTTTGAAGGCTTTGTCTGTATGAGAGATAATATCCAGATTGATTGGTAAAGACCTTTATAGCCAGCCCCGGCCTCCTCACTTCATCTCCCACTCCACATGCCAAACAGGCCATGCTCCCTGCCCATGTGGTTCTTTCCATCTGAAATGCCCTTCCCTCCTCATGGCTGCTTCAGGAAACCAAATCAGCTTTCAGGCTCAGCTTAAATATCTCAGTCTTTTCTTAGAACTCCACCTGCACTCCCACACACGCCTACCACACCTGACAAGCTTCTTTACAGTCTACTCGGTATGATTCTACAGCTCAATTTTTTTTTTTTTTTTAAAGCACCAAGAAGGGCAGGAATTATACCTTTTTATTTTTATTGATTTCAGAGAGAAAGGGAGAGGGAGAAAGATTAAAAAAAAAAAATCAATGATGAGCAAGAATCACTAATTGGCTGCCTCCTGCACACTAGGGATCGAGCCTACAACCCGGGCATGTGCCCTAACCAGGAATCAAACCATGACCTCCTGTTTCATAGGTCAACGCTCACCACTGAGCCAAGCAAGCCGCAGGAACTGTACCTTAACCACGTCTACAACCCCAGTCCCTGGCATGCCACACCTAGCTCTGAGTGGTTGGCACCTAAGATATACCCTCTCCTTTCCCTGGAATAGAGATGTTTGGGTTTCAAAAGGCTTCTTCAGCTACCACAAAAATATAATCACTCATCTTCATCTAGCTATATTCAAAAGCATGGCACCTTAAAAAATAAGATAACTTGTTAGCTTCACTAAAAATGGTAAAGAGATATTTCACTTATCCCAATTCATGTGATTCACAGAAGAACAAAGCTAATAATTTCTACACAGAAGACAGCATCCGAAAGAGAACAGAGCTCTCTAGCATGGCTGGTGTCTCTCTGTCTAGGGCTTGCCAGGGTCTTCACGTGCATTGTGTAGTGTTCAGAAATACAAATATGACTGTTCTTTCTGAAACCGAACAGAAGGACAGTTTGCCAAACCACAGCAGGAAGGATGCAGCAAGGGTGCCTGGAACAACCTGGGTGCCTGGCACAGCACAGGAACAAGCAGAGGCCAGCTCTGATGGTGGCTGGTTGGGCAAGGGAACTTTCTATGTTGGGCCCATTGTGTTTCCTAACCAAGACAGCGCTCTAAAACCATGAAAGTGAGCACCTGCAGGTTTAAATACTTCATCAGCAAGGCTAACAGAGCCTACTCCTCACAACATCCTCCTAAGAGTACTTGCACAATAAGAAGGGCAGGAAAGGACTGGTCTGTAGGTAAGAATGAATTTTAGAAAATACTGAGTTAAAAAATTTACCTGTATTAGCCGAAACCGCTTTGGCTCAATGGATAGAGCGGCAGCTTGGGAACTAAAAGGTCCTGGGTTCGATTCCGGTCAAGGGCATGTACCTTGGTTGCGGGCATATCCCCAGTGGGGGGTGTGCAAGAGGCAGCTGGTCGATGACTCTCTCTCATCAATGTTTCTAACTCTATCTCTCTCCCTTCCTCTCTGTATAAAATCAATAAAATATATTTTTAAAAATTTAGCTGTATTAATCCAATTCAGCCATTAGTGCTTGGATGGCATTTTAATATGAACTTTGGTCCGCATAAATCTATTCTCTCCATTCATACTTTTTGGAAGGCAGAACTGGCCAGCCAGAATCATGGTCAAATTTATCCCAGGAAGATTACAGTAATAAACTCTAGTCACTAACAATCATCTTTAATAAATGCCTACCGACCATTGAAGCTCTGGGGACAGATTAATCAAGATTGCTGTATACAGAGAAATCTTTTGAAGTCTGACATTTCTCAATCTTCCTAAGCCCAGAGAGATTTGAATATGTACCCCCTGATCACGGAACAAAGTAGAAACCAGCACGTATCTGCTGATTGAATGAAGGAGTGGCTGAATCATGGCATGAAACTAATGCAGAAAAGGGAACCAAAGAAAGGAAAAATTAGTTTCCCAACTGCTCAGGAATCACATCTTCAAAGTTGTTTGTTTTCCTTTTAAACCTGCCGGTGGCTCAGTGCAGCAGTCACCAACTTTTCAACCTCGGTCCGCGGACCACTGGTCGGTGACCGCTGGCTTAGAGCACATTTCTGGTGTAAGGATGCTGATGTGCTGGTGACATGTTAAGCATAATAAAAACTAAATATGGCTGAGTAAACAACAAAGACAACTTAGGATCCCAGTAAACAAGAGCTCAAACTGAAACCCAGACCTGACAGCTGGGAGAAGCAAACTAGTTGGTTCCACCAAAGCTGATCAGGGATGCTGTATGCAAGTAAGAGGGTAGGAAAGGTGCCTTCTAGCCGAGACCTCAGTGAGCCATAAGCTGAACCTAGGACACCTGACTCAGGATCTGCTCTATCAAGTGGGCATGCTCAGGATCAGGGGCTGTCCTTGTACAGTCAGCAGCCCGGCAGAGAGGTAGAGAATGAGAGGTGAAAGCAGGAACTGAGGGAGCCCCCAGCTGTGAGATGGTCCCTGAGAAAAGCTACTTTCATGCTGAGCCAAAAAGCTCTGAAGTCTCTGGTAAGCACCACATTACACACAGCATCAAACTGGATTTTCCTACAGCACTGTTTCTAAGTATAGGGTTTAGATTTAAAGAAATATTATTTTTTTAAAAATATATAGTAGGACTGGTTACTTCTGCCCCCGAAGTGTCACAAGTTCCTCTGTTTAAAACTCTATAGAGATTCAGGAACAATGAGTACTTACTTTTTTCCAGCTCTAAAGAGAGGAGAGGCGACCAGCGACCTCTGGCTATGGTGTGACCTGCCGGCAGCCCCTTCACCACACAGGGCACAGCATGTGGGTTACCCAGGGTCCTACCTCAGCCCTGCCCCTGTGGCCATATCAACACTTATTAATAGTCCACTGGCACGGAAACAAAAAGTAGAGGGGGGGAGGAGATCAAAGGCTTATTCAAGACTTAGTTTTTAGTAACTAACAAAAGGCTGATGTTTAATTTACCAAAAAACATTTTACCAAGCATGCCCATTATTGGCTGTAAAAAATGTATCCACTATGTATGAAGCATGATCCCTGTCCTCAGAAAACATCAAGATGGAAAGGAGGAAAGTGAAAGATCAACCACAATCCATAATAAAAGCGTAACATTCTAATTAGACTGGAATCCTTCCAGACGACCTTCGGACAGAGCCAGGGCTGAGGGAAGCCCGGGTCTGGGGTGCCTGCTGGTGGCCAGAAGGAAATCCAGATCCCCGGTGCCAGAGGGAAGCCAGTGTCGGCAGCCAGGGGAAGGAAGTCCTACTTCTGCACAAATTTCGTGCATCAGGCCTCTAATATACTTACTAAAGCAATGAAGAAAGCTAAAGGGAATGTATGACTAACTGCCAAAGAGCCATCACAGGAGCAGGTTCAGGTTTAAGACTGTACCACACACGTGATGTGTGAATGTCCTTCCTACTCTCCACACACACCTCCCCATCCCTGAAGAGCCAGAGTCTACAGGGTGAAATTGCTCAGGTCAGAACGTCAGTGCAGGTTAGTGCTATCATTGCTCTGCCAGTGTACCTGTGGGCATCACTCACCACACCAGCTCTCTTCCCCCAAGTCTGGTCTCAGCCCCTTTCATATCAGCCTTCTCAAGACACTCCTCCCACACTCAGGAAGGTCTGCTATCTCTAAATGACCCCCCTCCCCAAAACACTCAGTACCTCAGGCTTGCTGTCCACCACATCCACCTCGAGGGCGACTTCGGATTGGAGGATTTTCTGCTTAGCTTGCTCCACAGCCGAACTGAGCTTGTGTATGTAGGACTGCAGCTCTTCTGGGGAGTCCATGTTCAGCTCCATCAGAGCTTTGTGAAATTGATCCATCTGGCCATCCTCTAGAAGTTCCTGAAACCATCATCCTCAAAGTCATCAGTGCAATCACAGACAGGAAGGAAAGAGAACCTCAGCAGGACAGGACTCCTAGAGTGCCTCAGCCCGCCCCACCACAAACCACACCTCCCCCAAAGTTCCCCACAGCTGTCCTCCCAGCTGTCCCTAGGCTGCCACGGCATCATGGTTTCAGGCTACCTGACCAGGCAAAACTAACCTACGGTGACAGACATCAGAAACATTGTTATTGAAACCGGTTTGGCTCAGTGGGTAGAGCGTTGGCCTGTGGACTGAAAGGTCCCAGGTTCGATTCCGGTCAAGGGCATGTACCTTGGTTGCAGGCACATCCCCAGTTGGGGGTGTGCAAGAGGCAGCTGATCAATGATTCTCTCTCATTGATGTTTCTAACTCTCTATCCCTCTCTCTTCCTCTCTGTGAAAAATCAATAAAAATATATTTTTAAAAAAAAGAAAAGAAAAGTTGTCTTCTTTTGGGTGGGAGAAGTGGGAAGGTTACTAAGAGTAGGCAGGAGAAGAGACTGCTGGGGTGCTGGTAATGCTCTACTTTTGGATCTGGACGGCAGACACACAGTGTGTTTCACGTTGTGAAAATGCATGAGCTACACACTTCAGATTGGTGTACTTTGCAGCGTGTGTGCTACACTAACATTAAGAAATTAAAAAGTAAACTAAAGGGGATTATAAGGCTGACATAAATCAACAAAGCCAGAGTTCACAGTTATTTCAAAAATGCCTGCTGCTATACCATCCTCTATACTAGGGGTGTCGAACTCAATCAGAGAAGGGGCCAAAATCTAAAATCCAGCCTAAATCGCGGGCCGAATGGTTTACTGAACAGTCATAAACTGTCATTGTGATGGAAACGCAGCGGAGTGCAATGATGACAGCGCGGTGCGGGCCACATTGCAAGGCCTGGCGGGACGGATTTGGCCCGCGGGCCTTGTGTTTGACACATGTGCTCTATACTGATGATCCCAGACTCCTTCATGACCCCAAGGGCAACTCAGTCGATGCATTGTGGGTAAGGAAGAACTACAGGAGGAACATCTGCTGAGTAAGGCCGGGGCCCATCTGGGACCTGCTGTTACCTGCACGTACTGCAGCCTGTCCAGCCGCTCCTGATCGAGCTGCAGCTTCTCCTCCCGCCGCCGGGCGTTCAGCTCCTGCAGCCGCCGCAGCTGCTGCTGCCGCCTTTCCTGCTTCTCCTCGGCGGTCAGAGTGCTGCCGAGGAGTTTGCTGGAGAACGGGAGCTGCATTTTATGCACATTGTTTTCGTAATAGTCAGGGCACCGCCACTTCTGCAATTCTTCAAATAAATAAGTTTAAAAGTTAAGAAACAGCAACACTACTAGCACAGAAATTAGAAAGACAATACCAGAATTCTAGGTCTGTGTAAAATGAAGAGCACAGTCATACAATCTCTGAACTATCCAATCAATAAAATGCAGCCATAAAACTGGACACAATGCCAACAGACTTCCTCTAAAATAATTGCTAAGTAAAGGACTTCAGACTGAAATGATACCAGAAGGAAAACTGGAATACCAGGAATGAATGAAAAGCAATGGAAATGATGAAAATCTGGTTAAATGTAACAGACAAACCTCTTCTTGAGTTCAAAATGTTTGACAATTAAAAGTGAAAACCACACGCTGTCTGATGAGTTCCCAATGTTGTGGATGATTACATAAGACAGCTCCAGCACAAAGGAGGAAAGAGAAAGGACCCTCTCACATGCTAACAATTCCACATTCTACTTGAAGTGGTAAAATAGTGACTCTAAGAAGACTGTGTAAAGTATGCTCATCGTACCCTCTAGAGAGCAATCACTGAAAAAACTACAGGAAGGTATAGTAAAGCCCGACCAGCAAATTCAGTAGTTGAGCATCGACCTCTGAACCAGAAGGTATGGTTCCATTCCCAGTCAGAGTTGTGGGCTTGGTCCCAGTAGGGGACATACAGGAGGCAGCTGATCAATGATTCTTTTTCATCACTGATATTTCGATCTCTTTCTCACTCTCCCTTCCTCTCTAAAATCAATAAAAATATATTTTTAAAAAGATATAAATAAATGGAAAGACATACTGAAGATTCAACATAATAAAAAAATGTCAATTCTTTCCAATGGACTTAATATTATTTCTGCATTTATATTTAGAATGTTGTTGTCCTATATCCAATCTTATCTGTAGATTTAATGTACTTTCAAATAAAATCCTAACAGAACTTCTTTGTCAATATGGATGGACAGGTTGATCCTAACATTTATATGGAAAGGCAAGAAACTAGAATAGCCAAAACAATTTTGAAAATAACCTACATGGGTAAGTTATCCGTTAACTAAAGATTTTGTTGAAGTAATACCAAAAGGGAAAGGGGGTGCTAAAAAGTACTGAGTTAAAAAAATGAGCAAATGAGTTATCCTGGAAACAATTTAAGGAACGCTCCCCAGCCAACATCCAAAAGCTGCAAGCACCCACTGCTCCCTCACCTTCTGCATAGTCCTCGGCGATGTAGCTGTGCTCGTGCAGGATCTCCTCCATGCGGCTGAGGGTGATAGCTGCCAGGTGCCCAGGATACTTCAGCTGCAGGAGGCGCTGGAGGTAGCCAGCTGCGTGGCTTCCTCCCAGATTGATGCGTTTGCAATTTTTAGCATCTAATCTACAACCAAGAAATGAAAAACAACACTTTTTTTTTTTAAAGAATAGTTTATTGACTTTTAGGGAGGGAGAGAAACACCGTTTAGTTGCCTCCTACATATCCCCTACCAGGAATGGAGCCCGAAACACAGGCATGTGCCCTGACTGGGAATACAACCAGCAACCTTTCAGTGCAAGTGATGACATCCAACCAACTGAGCCACACCGGCCAGAGCAACAGCACTTATTCTTGACAGCATGAAAGAGAATATGGAGCACCGTTGGGGAGAAAAGATAATTTAATGTAAATGCAGGAGGAAGAACCAGACCAGCTAGGAGAACATAAAACCTTAGTTGGAAGGGACTTTCAAGTTCCCTTGGTCCAACCTCTTAACCAATGCAGACTTCCTAGTCCACACCAGACAGACATGTGCCCATCAAACTCCTGGCAAGCGTTTCAGAAGGAAACCAGTTCAATGGGAAGGACATGTACTCTGAAGTCAGACCCACCATCCATTTCTCAGACTGTGGTCCTGGAACCAAGTATCCTGGAATTAGCTGAGGAAATGTTAAATGCGCCCATTCTCAGGTCTCATTTGCTCCGGGATGGCCTGGGAATTTGCATTTTAACAAGCTTCCCAGGTAACTCCAGTATAAGCCGGACTTTTGAGACTCCCTTCCCCAAACGCTCCACTTCTATGGACACACATTAAGTAACGCCAGGTATACTGGCTTAGTGTAACTCCTTAAGACTGCCATGAACTGCAGGGAAAGAAAACCAGAGTTACTTTGTGTTTTTCATGAGAGTAACAGAGCACTAGGAAGTGCTCTATATTGATATGTCGCTGCTCTATCACACCTCACCAGCAGATGCCAGCATAGAACTGGCATATACTCAGAATATACTCCAATCTGATCATTCCTTAGCCTTCAGGTAAAATAATTTTCTCTAAATACAAGATAAAAGTAACAATATCATCATTAATTTCTGCATATTGCTTTACATAATGTAGACAACTCTGCACTGAAGTGTTTGGTAATGTCTAAGAATTGCTTTTTTTCTTCGTTAATTTTTGTAAAAATTTTAAGAGAAATTCCTACTCTAGGGCTCAATATATTCCACAGCATTTGTTTTAACTTAAATGTTCATAGTGCTTTATAATTTATAACATGCCATCATCTACATTATCTCATTTCATCCTCAGGATAACCCTGAGCAATCCATTTTTCCCGTTTTACACGTTAGGAAACTAAGTGAAGAGGCTAAGTACCTCATTCTTAGCCGGACTACAAACCAGGCATTCAACTCCAAACCTGTAACTTATTTTCTTAATATATTTTTATTGATTTCAGAGAGGAAGGGAGAGGAAAAGAGAGATAGAAACGTCAATGATGAGAATCATTGATTATCTGCCTCCTGCACACCCCCTATTGGGGATCAAGACCACACCCCAGACATATGCCCTTGACCAGAATCGAACCCGGGACCCTTCAGTCCATAGGCCCACACTGAGCCAAACAGGCGAGGACAAAGCCAGGACTCTTTTCTTGTACATCCCCTTTACTCAATGAGAAATCTCAGGAGAGCATGATGCTGGCCTAGTCTCTCATCAGACAACAAAAGCCCAGCTATAAAATGAGGACCAATTTTAGACATGACAGAAACTACCCTCACTTTTTATTCAACTCAAAAACACTTAATAAGTACCTCTATGATGTGCCAAGCACTGTATGTGAAAAAGGTCAAAACTATGGTGATTAAAGAGCTTTAAATAAAAATCATGCATGCTCTCTTAATAAGAAAGTGACTCCAGAACACAAAAATAGTCTAAATTAAGTTTATTCAAATCATCTATTCAAACATTTTTTTTGAGCCCCTAGTACCTGCAGGTACTGTGTTAGCTATCTCACCTAAATCAGAATTACAAAATTCTAGAATTGTGGATTTGGACCTCAGAGACCATCCACCTCAACTCCTTCCACAAGGGCACAAAGAATGGAAGGTGAAGTGACTGACCCACAGTCACAAAGTGAGACAGGTCAGAGCTAAGCCCGGAGGCCAGTTCGCGGTCTGGTACCTGCTCTTTCAACTCCACCTTTAAAGCAGGCACCCCATCAACGTTTCCCCGAATGCTCCTCAAAGAGGACTCACATGCTGTCGATGCCACTTACCTCCCTTCTAAGATGGGTAAAATGTGTGTGCACTGGTACCCAGATGAAATGATGAGCCCGCTGGAGATGGAGGTCTTTGGCTTGTTGTGGTAGAAGCTGAACAGGCTGTCTATTCCGTAGGCCACCTTGGGAATCCTGTAGCACTCAAAAAGGAGCTCGGACATCATCTGTCGCGAATACAGCGGGTTGCACACCGCTTCTGTCAGAACGACGGGGTGATCCACACAGCCCTACTTTGAAGCAAAAGAACAAGGAGGTGGGTGATATGAGAATACTCTTCTTAAAGCACAAAAGAAAGGAAAATGCTGAATTTGCTTTTGGTCTCCAACCAAAAACTTGATCAGAAGCAGACGTAAAACATGCCTCTCATTTCTATGGGAAGTGGTTTTGGAAAATAGGAACGCAGGGTCAATTTAAGGATATGAAGTCAAGCCCCTTCCAAATTCTCAGTGAATCATAACGGCTCTATCTTCAAAATAGCTCCAGAACCCAACCACTTCTTACCCCATCTCCCCCATTCCCTGCTGCCTCCTTCAGAGAAGTCACCATCACCTCTCACCCAGGTGATTGCAGCAGCCTCCTCCCCGGTCTCCCCATTTCTATCTGTAACCCATGCCAGTCCACTTCCCGTACAGCAGCTCCAGCGACCGCTAGGGAACGTCAGTCATGTCCCTCCTCTGCTCCACACCAAGGCTCCCCAGTTCACTGGGTAGAAGCCTGGGTGTGTAATGTGTCCCCTCCACTTACTACCGCCCCGCCCTCACGCCGGCTGCCCTGCGGTTAGGATCAGGGCATCCTTCTGCCCTGGGCCTTTCCACTGGTGGTTTCCTCCCTCTGTACCACTATCCCCTCAGATATCACGTGGCCTGCTCCCTCAATAACCTTCTTCAAGTCCCGACTCCAACATCACCTTTTTCCTCACCCCTCTCCTCTCCTTCTACCATGCCATAAAATCTACTACTTAATTCTACTTATCGTCTGTCTCTCCATACTAGAATGTCTTTCCATACTACCCTGTTTCACCGAAAATAAGACAGTGCCTTATATTAATTTTTTTCTCCCAAAGTTGCGCTAGGTCTTATTTTCGGAGAATGTCTTATTTTCGGGGAATAAGGTTTTGTGTTACATTTCACAGATGCATTCCAAACGCCTAGAAAAGTGCCTGACAGAGTAAGTGCTCGGTGCACATTAGTTAATAAGTGAACTTATTAACAAAGGAGCAATATGCCCGAAATGTATGCTCCAAGAGAAAAGGGGTACGGTTCTGTTCGTGCTGTATCCCAAGCGCCTACGGCTCACACACATTAGGCGCTTCGTAGCTGAAGGAGCGAATAAATGAATGAATGATTCAGTAACGATCAGCGCCACGGGAGTGGCTCTTCTTTCTCTGAGGGCAGAGAGAGCGGGGACAGGACCTCATCCCTCCCGCTCCATCCTACCACCTCCCTCCCCGCCCGCCCTCCGCGAGGCTCACCTGCGAGGAGACCCCCAGGTGCTGGAAGCAGTAGTCAAACAGCAGCTCCTGCAGCTCCAGGTTGACCGGCACGTTGCGGTCGAAGGGCGAGCGCAGCATCCAGCGCAGCGGCTCCAGGCTGCCCAGCGCGTTGCCCACCTGCGGGCCCGCCCCGCCCCGCGCCGCGCCCCGCCCGCGGGCGCACACGGCGCGGAACTGCAGGCGCGGCTCCGGGCCCGCGTCCGGCCCGGGGCACGCCCAGCCGGCGCGGACCTGGAACGACCCGTTGTCCAGCACCAGCGGCACCGGCAGCGGCCCTGGGGCCACCGGGCCGGCCTCCAGCACCGGGTCTGGGGTGGCGCGGGCGTCCCGGAACGGGAACACGTTCCCCACCGGCGCGGCGGCCCCGGACGCCGCCATCTTGCGCCGCGCGCGCTGGCCCCGCCCTCCGCCGCAGCGTCCGCCCCGACGGCGCGAAGCCCCGCCCCGGCGCGTCACGCAGGGCGGCTCGGGTCCTAAAGAACTTCCGGGCCTCACCTCCTCGCCGAGGCCGGCGGCCCTCTGCGCCCGGCTCGCGCCTCGCGGCCCAGGCCACCCTCGGGACCGCTGGGGCCCGACCATCCTGGCGGTTAAGTCCCGTGGTTGCATAACCTCGTCTTACTATCCGGTCTCGCCACGCCCCTTCGCTCCAGCCGGGACTCTGGGCCAATCAGTCGCGCCCCAGTGCGCAGCGCCGTCAAGCCCCGCCCCCTCCTGCCTCCGGGAGGCCCCGCCTTCTCGCCTGGCCACGCCCCATTCCCCCGGGGAACTCACCTTCTACAGCCCTTGGTTCCGCCTCCACGTGGTTACGTTGCCCTCAGCCTCTCAGTCAAGGAACTGCAAGCTCTGAGTCACTGATTGTTCAATTACATTAAAATATATATATATTTTAAATTTTTTACAGAAAGGAAGAGAAAAGATAGTCAGAAACATCAGTGAGAGAGAAACATTGATCAGCTGCCTCCTGCACACCTCCCACTGGGGATGTGCCCGCAACCAAGGTACAAAAGTCCTTAAATGTGTTTGTGTAGTTTAGACTGCCTTCTTGCACTGCTGCTGTTAGTCACGAGAAGGGCATGTCTGAAGTCTAAAAAGGATGAAAGACCCATGGATAGGACTCGAACGCAAACTGCAGCCTGGAGCCAAGTCCAGCTGCCATGCAACCTAAAGCTGAGCCATCCCCACAGACCCATGAACAAGAAAAGTTTATTCTGGCCGAAACCGGTTTGGCTCAGTGGTAGAGCATCGGTTTGTGGACTGAAAGGTCCCGGGTTCGATTCCGGTCAAGGGCATGTACCTTCTTTGCGGGCACATCCCCTGTAGGGGGTGTGCAAGAGGCAACTGGTTGATGTTTCTCTCTCATTGGCGTTTCTAGCTCTCTATCTCTCTCCCTTCCTCTCTGTAAAAAATCAATTAAAAAGTATATTTAAAAAAAAGAAAAGTTTATTCTGAAATTCTGAGGTTTCTATGCAGCATTATTGCTGCAGAAAAATGACAGATACACTAGATCAAAGTTGTCCACCTGGTACTTCCTGCCTTGATGGAAATATTCTACAACCTGCATTGTCTACTGCAGTAGCCACTAACCACATGTGGCTATTGAGCACTTGAAATGTGAGTAATGCAGGTGAGGGACTGAGTTTTTCACTTTATTTTATTTACATTTACATTTCAATAACCATATGTATCTAGTGACTATTCTGTTGCACAATGTAGCACTAGACAGAATCTGCCTGTGGAAATGACTAGAAGAAAATAGATCATAAGCTTGGGGTTACAAGGCTCTGGAACTCCAAGTGTCCTCCACACAGCCCTCAGCACAAGGTCTTTGCTCCAGCTGAGACATCCGCTGAAATGACTCAGAGAAACAGGTAAAAGTCTGGGAGGTCAGCAGCCTCTTCAAGAGTTTCACAAGGACTCAGACAGCTCTGAGATCTTGAGGCTCCGTCCCCTTACACTTGACCTCCATCCCTTAGATTCATCTGGTCTTGGGAAAACAGCTCAGTCAAGATCAAACGACACCTTGTCTGTCTTCTTTACTGCTGCATCCTGAAGCCTAGAGTAGTTGTTAGCCCTATGTGTGTGGCCTGAAGTGTGCTCAATAAATATTTAATAAATAAACCCTGGGTGCCTGCCAGAACTTGTACTAAGTACTAGGCCAGTGGTCAGCAAACTCATTAGTCAACAGAGCTTCACGACATTTGGCTGGGCTCTCAGCACTGCCAGGCCATCCTGCTGGGAGTCCCTGGCCAGAGGCCCCGCCTCACCTGGTCCTTCTGGGCCCCACAACTTGCAGAGGAGGTGTCCACCGCGCCGCTGTGGAATTCATGATAGCCAGACCCTGGAAAACACTCAATCCAAACCTGTAGGGAATAGGGTTCACCTCCCAAACCTTACCTCACACCTAGGGCTGGGATTAGGATGAGGCAAGAGAGGCATCTGCTTAGAGAGCAACATTCTAGGGGGTGCAAAAACATTCAATAAGCAAGGTAGCATTTTGTGCAATGTGTCTTAAAAAAAAAAAAAGATGAAAAGCCAAAATGAACTATGATTTTCAAAATAACACGACGAACAAAATCATGAAACTCGAAATAAATACAAGATTGGTATTGCTGGTATTTCCTTTGGCCTCCATATGGCTTAACACAGCGCTGCTGGGGCACTGCTCTATCTGAAAGACATGGTCGCTGATCCTCTGAGTTTGGGAAGGAAATGATGCTGAGGAATCTTGCCTGGCCTATCCTTGAGCTCCCTGCTGACCAAGAACATAGTTCTTTCTTTCAATTTCTACCCATGCACTTGGGTGTTGCCTGAGAACAAGTCTGGGGAGGGGTCTCCTCTGGACGAGGGTGCGGGCCTTCCCTTAGGACGCTGGGAGGCTGGCTGGGGCGGGGGGAGGGGGGGAAGGGGCGAGGGGAGGGGGAGAAGGATGCACGGGCTCCTGCTAGTGGAGCACAAAGCAGGGAGCCAGGGTATGGTGGAGCGGAGCTGGGAGAGCCTGCGGATGTGGCAGCCACTGTGCAGAGTCACCTGGCGCCTCATTTGTCCTTTTAAAGACAGGAAGGACCGCGCTAGTGCAGCATGGCGTTCCCGCCTTCCTCTCAACCACAGAAGTCCGGGCTTTCTCTGAACAGCGCAGCCCAGGGTCCATGGGCCCGCATAGGAAGTGGGGCAGAGGGGGGAACAGTCAGCTGGCTCTCCAGGACTGGGAGACAGCGAAGGGGGAGGGGGCCTGGAGACTGAGCCTCTTCTGGCCAGCTCCGAATCCTGAATGCCGGCAATAGTGACAATAGGGCATTAGGGGGTGACAGCAGTCATCTCAAATGGCCCGTGAAATCGTCAGAAGCAGAAAGTGGCCGAGGGATCGGATCTGATCTCCCTTCCGCCCCACTCCCATTCGCTGGCTGCAGAACCGCTATCACACACACAGGCGCTCACAGACGCCCATCCGAGTCCTCACGAGATGCGAGTACGTACAGCCTTCCCCTCACCCCTCGTGCCTACCTTTGGATGGGTGTGCTCTCTCTCCCACCTGCACACATGCAGCCCGCTGAAGCCCGCAGGGAGGAACGGACAGGTTCTTAGGCATTCTCCCGGTGCCTCCCGCACCGACTGCACCGGGAGAATTCGGTCCAAACGGGCCCACCATGGGGCTGGAGGCCAAGAATCTCCCGCTAGGCTTCTCTCGTTTGATTCTCGCCTTCCCGCACTCCCAGATCCCTTCTGGAAAGTCTAACCGTGACCCTTCCCAGCCATCCTGGAACTGGCTCTCCTGGAGGCAGGGCCAGCGCTGCCCCTGGGACAGGATCTGCACAAAAAGGGGCTGGGTGATTCAAGCAAACGCGTGCTCCACGGCTGTGCAAGGAAGAGGGAGATTGGGGCCCGGATCGTTCAGGGCTGCTGATTCTAGAAAGCCAGGTTTCTTCACTGTGGCTGTGTAACCCCAAGCTTGGACTTGAGGGTGGTGGAGGTGGTGAGGGTGGTGGAGATGGTAGAGTGAGATGCCTTCCAGCCCAGGCAGTCACGCTGGGAGTCCTGGTGTCCTTGTTGATCGCCGCCTCTCTGCTAAACTGCAAACTCCCCGAGGTCCGGGCTGGGTTTGCCCCCCCACCTGGAACCCGGCACGGTCCTAGCTAAGAGGGGCTGTCCACCAGCACCCACTGAACACCGAGGAGGGCTGTCATTGGCATCAGCAAGCCTTTGTTTTTAATGGGAGCAAATTCTCCCCCAAATTCTCAGATGGATCCCGCCCTGGGGAAGGATGGAAACAAACCTTGTCCTGGCGGCTGAGAGGCGGAGATGAGAAGGACGCGCCCCTTCCCACTGCGTGTCCTCCCTCTCCCACCCCCACCCCGCTCGCGGCCCCCCACCCCCGCCCCAGCACCTGCAGAGCCTCCCTCGGTGCAGACCCCCCCTCCTCCCCTCTCCTTGGAGCTCTCCCGCGACCCTTTCACGGCAGCTGCTTCATCACCCCCACCTGCTCCACCAGGCCTTACACACACACACTCCGCGCCGGGATCCCCGCAGGTGTAAAACGCAGAGCCGCAGGCGCCTTTGTTTCTTCTTTATTTGCGGATATAATGATGCGCCGCACTCTAAGTTAGAGATAGATTTTTTTTTTCTGATATAACATTTCATCGTATTCACCACGAGCACACAGCACACGCACAGAACAGTTCCACAAGATGAGTTTGGGTTCCTGGAAGCCCGCAGGCCAGCCAGCCCCGCCGCCGCTTCTCCTCGCCTCCCGCTCCCCGCGCCCCTCCGATGGGGACCGCCCGCCGGAACGGGCTCCCCGCCGGCCTCGCCCGCCGCCGCGGGGCTGACCTGTCTCCGGGAGGGGAAGGCTCTGGCTGGAAAGGGCTGGACGCTGCACAGGCTCCGAGCTCTGGATGGATGTGAAATGTCCCGCCAAGGTCGCGTTTCTGCGCCTGCGAGCTGCTCCCCTCTCCCTCCCTCCCCACCCCCTCCGCTGGGGGGACAGGGGCCCAGGTAGGGGGTCCCCCTGGAAGGACAGATCCCCGCCTTCCTCCCGACGCCGGGGTGTGGTGGCAAAGAAAGGACCACAGACACGCAGACGCGATGGATTGTGGATCCCCATCCCCTCCCCCCGCCCCCCGCCCCCCCATCCCCCATAATCAGAGACTAGGAACCGGAGATGTTGAAAGCTTGGCTTTCCAAGCGCTGCGTCGGCGGGGCGGGGCGGGGCGGGGCGCCCGGGGCGGCGGGGGCGGGGGCGGGGGTGGCAGGGAGGAGGGAGGAGGGAGGGGAGGAGCGCGGGAGGGAGCTGGCCTGCCCGCCCCGGGACCGCCTAGTCCTCCGCGTTGGTCCCGTAGGCCTCGATGAGGCCCTCGAGCGAGTGCACGAAGCCGGACACGCTGCAGATGCCGCCGATGACGAAGATGGCCACGTCGAAGAAGACCTGGTGCCAGAGCAGCTTGCGCCAGAGCAGGCGCAGGTGGAAGAGGCTGGGCAGCAGGAAGCAGAGGCCGGCGCCCGTGAGGCTGCCCGTGAGGCCCATGAGCAGCGCGAAGTGCGGCACGTAGATGGCCATGAGCAGCGTGAAGACCACGAGCGCGCAGCGCAGCGTCAGCCCCCAGGGCTTGAGGCGGCCGTCGCCGCCGTAGCAGGCGGGGAAGAAGGCG